GGGATGCGGAGCTGCAGAAGGAGGTGGAGAGGATGAATGCCTTGACTATCACGGAGAAGCTTAAAGCTGAGTTCTTGAGTAAGGCTAGTGTTGAGTATGAAACAAAGGTATAATTTGTTTTGTTTATTTTATTTTATGGAAAAAGTATTGAATAATTATAATAAAAATAAATTAAGTTGGTAAATTAATATTGTGCATTATATCATCTAACATGATCAGTGTTAATAAACAAAGGTACAAGAGGCAAATTGGGAGTTATACATCAAACAAAAAGCCGCGGAAGCTATTCTTTACCAAAGGGAGAAGGAGGCCGAGGCACAGAAGGCAATTGCTGAGGCAGAATTATATGCTCGTCAACAAGTTGCAGATGGAGAATTTTATGCAAAGAAAAAAGAGGCTGAGGGTCTGATGGCCCTTGGACAAGCCCAAGGTGCATATCTACGCACTCTTTTGGACGCCGTTGGCGGCAACTATGCAGCCATGAGGGACTTCATGATGATCAAAAGCGGCATGTTTCAAGAAATTGCTAATATCAATGCTGAGGCCGTGCGTGGACTTCAACCCAAAATCAGCATTTGGACAAATGGAGGCGGAGAGGGCGGGGATGGCGGCCATGGGGCTATGAAGGAGGTGGCTGAGGTTTACAAGATGTTGCCACCATTGTTCAAGACAGTTCATGAACAAACTGGAATGCTGCCACCGGCTTGGATGGGAACTTTGTCCGATTCTCATTCTACCAGCTCGGCTCTTAATTGAGTTCGAGATAATTCTAGACACCAAACGTGGCCTTGCTTAAAACTTTGTTCTATGTACTTAATTCTACTTTGACATGTATGTGTTTAGGGGCAAAACTGTTAGCCATAGTGGAAGCCTTTGGGAAGAGTTGGGAAACAAAACTGTTGTTGGCTGTCTAATGAAAAATTTATAAGACCAAATCCCAAATGTTAAGAAATTTATAAGAAACAAAACATGCCTGTGTTGGCCATGCATAATAAATTTATAAGACCAAATCCCAATTGTTGGCTGTATGCAAATGCTCGCAAACATATGGCCATGTCCTGTACAATGATACATAATATAGGAATGAACAAATCAAATGTCGTTGACAATTTCAAGCCGATAACACAAAGAGGAAATAATCCCTTGAATTACTGAATCCAAAAACTCGCTACTAGAAAACCTCATTATAGGACACCACTAGTACTGATACACTCGTAGCCTATATTCTTGTTAATCATAGACAACCCGTAGTTACGAGTTGGACACAAACCAAGTGATCTACTGCGATAGAAGCGGGTGTTGCTAGGTTAGGGCTTTTTTTAGTATGTATTTAATTTAATGTACTCTCTAGTTGGTTGTGGGGCCTTGGGCTTAGAACACTATTTTGACATCTATAAATGAGTTTGAGACTTGAAGGATGAAATCCCAATTTGTCATGTTTATTAATCCGTAATTGGAATGAAAATAAGGAGTTGAATTCCTATTACAAATACTCATGTGTTTACTTCATATAGAGGAATCAAAATGTAAGTGGGACCCACACAAAATCATGGATTCAACTCCTGATTTTGGAAGAATTGGATTATGGGTGGGAGGTAGTATTCTAATTCATAGACAACTAATCCAATAGAAATTCATCTTTTTTTACTCATTATATCCTCACACAACTTTTAAAATTCCAAATTTGTCATCTACTTTAACCTAACGACGATGACATTTTAGTAATCAATTTGGTTTCAATCCCAATTCATGTGAATTTAGTAAACAACTTATAAGGAATTAATATCACTCCTACTCCAATTTCATATGATTTAATAAACAACTCCAATTCAATTCCTTCTAATCTGATTACGGATTAGTAAACATGTCAAAATGAATTTCACGCATAATCAGAATTAATGTGCCAAAATTTGCTAATTCGATTTATTTCTATAACCAGGTTTGCAATCCCGTTCTCCTGGTCCACGAGGACCAAGGAGTTTCTTGGTAATCCAACGGTGGATAAGAGTCTAAACAATAAATAGTTTTGAATGTCAATATTTTTGGGGAAATAATTTCTAAAGCAATTTTTCAATCAAAAGTAGTAAGCCTCCCAAGTTGATAGAAATTTTCTCCATCAATTCTCTTATCGAAGGGTTTAGAGTCTTTCGTTTCTCTTCTTCAACCGTAACAATTTTTCTCCATTTATTTCTCTAATATGTATTTTGGCATCCTTATATTTCCTGTTTGAAAATTGCTTTAAAGATTTTTTACCGAAAAATATTGACATTAAAGCTATAAACTGAGTTTATTGTTTAGACTCCTATCCACCGTTAGGATTTAATCCAATGACAGTTGCCCAAGAAACTCCTTGGTCCCCCTGAACAAGGAGAACGGTACTGCCAGGTTTTGAAGGTTTCCTGTCCCATCCCATGCACATGATTATCAGGTTTTGATGATATAGGAATCCATAAATCAAACACATTGTTGACAATTTCAAGCCGTAAAAATTGGAGGAGTAAAAGAAGTTGGATGTGACAGGAACACCTTGTAATATGTCGACGTGGTATTACAAGTCTCCCATTATTAATGTGCAAATTCTTATCCTAAACTAATTGTAGCCCTAGTACAAATTAAACTCTGATTGTCCAAGATCTCAATCACTGATATATATATACGAGTATTCTTTTTTCATCTCTCTCGTAGCTTTTTTTTTGTGTTCAACATCTCTCATATCAAAACCCTAATATCTACTGCTGTCTACAAACAAGAGAAACACAGAAGAACCAACCATGTGGTACAGAGTTGCGAAAGCTTCAGAGTATCTAGTGATCACCGGGGCAGGGATCGACGACATAAAGCTTGCAAAGAAGGCATGGATCCTCCCCGGACAATCCCACACCGTCTTCGACTTGTCCCCAGTCAACTACACCTTCGAAGTCCAAGCCATGAGCTCTGAGAAGCTCCCCTTCGTCCTCCCCGCTGTCTTCACCATCGGCCCCCGCGAGGACGACATGCCCAGCCTCCATAAATACGCCAAGCTCCTTTGCAGCCACGACATGGCCTCCAACCACGTCCAAGAACTCGTCCAGGGCATCATCGAGGGAGAGACGCGGGTCCTCGCTGCCTCGATGACGATGGAGGACGTGTTCAAGGGGACCAAAGAGTTTAAGCAAGAGGTGTTTGATAAGGTTCAGTTGGAGCTGAACCAATTCGGGCTTCTGATATACAATGCGAATGTGAAACAGTTGGTGGACGTCCCGGGGCATGAGTATTTTAGTTACTTGGGCCAGAAGATACAGATGGAGGCGGCGAACAAGGCTAGGGTTGACGTGGCGGAGGCGAAGAAGAAAGGGGAGATAGGGTCCAAGGAGAGGGAGGGGATGACCCTGCAGAACGCGGCGAAGATTAATGCGGAGACTAAGATCTATGCGACAAAGAGGGAAGGAGAGGGGAAGAAGGAGGAGATAAAGGTGAAGTCGGAGGTGAAGGTGTATGAGAACATGAGGGAGGCTGAGGTGGCGGAGGCGAATGCTGAGCTGGCTAAGAAGAAGGCAGTGTGGACAAAGGAGGCGAAGGTGGCGGAGGTGGAGGCAGCGAAGGCTGTGGCGTTGAGGGATGCGGAGCTACAACAGGAGGTGGAGAAGATGCATGCCTTGTCTAAGACAGAGAAGCTGAAGGCTGATCTCTTGAGTGAGGCCACTGTTGAGTATGAAACCAAGGTACGCCTTGTACTTGTCCTTTTTCTTTCCTTTCTTTTGAAAATATAAAATTGAATGCATATGTAAAATTTGAGTTGGTTGGTGATCTGTATGAAACAAAATTAGTGTTACATTGATCATAGAAAAATATATTAAGTGACAGTGGATGTATTTAATTAATATCGAGTGAGTCACAATCACTATTAACCCTAATAATTTATGTTGTGAGTACGAACATGATCAATCGATGATGAGTAAATGTGGTTGATATTGTAGAATTAGTTCATGTTATTAATCTGTATGCTTGTGTTGGATTGCAATATTCATTGACTTATAATCAATACATGCAAGTACGAAACAAAAGTCTGAATCTAATGCTGCTGGATAATTATGTATTAATTAGTACAATGCTTGCTTTTTCTGACATATATTTATATATTTATGAACAAAGAAACTAGAGGCAGATGGAGCGTTGTTCCAAAAACAAAAGGCAGCAGAGGCAGAGCTTTTTACCAAGAAACTAGAGGCTGAAGCACGACTCTATGCCAAGAAACTAGAGGCTGAGGCACAAAAGGCAGTTGCAGAGACCCAACTTTATGCCAAGAAACAAGAGGCCGAGGCACAGAAGGCAATCGCAGAGGCACAACTTTATGCCAAGAAACTCGAGGCCGAGGGGCTCATGGCTCTTGGGCAGGCTGAAGGTGCATATCTTCGCAGTCTTCTGGAAGCAGTTGGAGGCAACTACAATGCCACCAGGGACTTCATGATGCTCAAGAATGGGACGTTTCAAGAAATCGCTAAGATTAATGCCGAGGCTGTTAGGGGACTTAAACCCAATATTAGCGTTTGGAATAATGGCGGCGGAGACAGCGGTGCCAATGGGGCCTTCAAGGAGGTTGCTGGAGTTTACAAGATGTTGCCACCATTGTTGAAGACAGTTCATGAACAAACTGGCATGTTGCCTCCGTCTTGGATGGGCACTTTGTCCAATTCTCCTTCTACCAACTCGACTCTTGATAGCACCTAAATTCTCGATTCATCTAAATTCTCCGTTTTTGTTTCTGTTATAAAGAGATAGTACACAATATGGTCACCGGTATAACTAGTTTCGCACAACCTTTTCTATTCTGTGTAGTTTGGTCCATGGTGTGTGGAACCTTTTCTGACTTTTAGTACACGAGATTGCATGATGCAATGGATTTATGAAAGAAATTAGAGACTTGGGAAAGAAATATTCATGACCTAGACTAGAGAACCCATAACTAATAATAATATTAACATGGGGCATGGCCGCCTGGTGAGGGGAAAAGAGAACAAAGGCAGCCAACAGGGATTTTGCATTTACGCCTTACTTCCGTCATAAACAACTGCAGGTCATTCTTTGAATTGATAGTCTTTCCAGTAACATTTACAACAAACAAAAGTTATTAATTACACGCATCCGCCTCAATTCAAGTAGCGCCTGCAATTCTTTGAATTGCAAAAACATGGAATCTTCTTACCTTCATCCTCATGGTTAAAATGGTAGTCATATGTTATCTCTTCTCCAGGAAATATGTCCCGCTCCGCAAAAAATACCACCTGCGGCAAATTGGTAAAATCAGTAAATACTCCCAAAGAACGTTAATTCTGTACATCGCAAAATTGAGAAACCACTTCTACTAGGTGAACTCAAGTGGCCAGGCATAGCCAATTTTCAAAAGAGAAGAAAAAGTCAGTATCATAATAGAATTTCCAATTACCTTCTTCTCATTCCTCACAGATATCACTTTGGCAACGCAGTTTGGCTGGTCCCAGGTACACCAACAACAAAGTAAGAAAACTGAGTGAAGTAAATAAAGCTAAGAAATTGCTCTAATCTTTCATAAATTCAGGAAAGCCAAATGCAGTCAGTAACATCGAAAAATAATAAATACACCTCTAAATTCTTTGTTGTGCTTTCCATGCTCAGACAAAATTGCTTCCTAAGTTTTCTAATTGCAATGAACTGTAAGATTATCCAAACCCAAATGCATAAGCAGAGCCCGACAAACATCCTTCATTCTTGAACATGAAAATTTTGAAAAAAATAAAAATAGATTGGCTCAGGGCTTAACAAGAAGCTGAGACCCAAGAAAACCAGCAACAACTGGTTCACAACTCAAACTTAAGAAGTGAGAATTACCACGCATGAATGGTTAACAAAACGAGCAATCCCTCCTTTGCATGTAGCATCAATAATATGCTCTTTATCTATCCTGAAGAAGTAGCAAGCGCTCTTGTACTGAAGCTTTTTCCCAGATTGGTATTCATTTTCCCTTTTATCGGCAACACGTAGCCCCACAATCTCTCCAACATACTCAACAACCTACAGAACAGAAGCACAAGGATACATCATATTTGGAATTATAGGAAGAATGTATGTGCCTCAATCTTTAAAGATGAGAACATCAAACCATTTCACTGCGGGAAATGAACCGAGACGTGTAAAGGCCAAGGGCATGTATGCCAGACTTGTACACTACAAGATGCTTCCAAAACTTTGCCTGCTTATAGCGTGCATATTCTTTCTGCAAGAGACAGTAACACTATGTGGTTAAGTAGTCTTAGAAAGGTAAAATAAAAGATCATAGATGCAACACAATCAGCTGAATCGTTTTATCTCACCATTAGACTGAACAACCAAAAACTGGGTATCTCATTTAATTGCAAACTTTAGCATTAATATGTTGCATGGATCATATTAGTCAAATCACATAAATGTTAAGTTAGAATAAATAATTAAAAACTGAGACACCCTGTTTTCTATGTCTAACACTACCATCAAGAAATGAAACATAGTCTACATTTACAAAAAGTGTTAGCCATAGAGTTTTTTAATACATCGCTCTTTATACAAAACAAAATGAATAACCAAAAACAATCATGAGGTAAAGCAGCCTCATCCATCATGAACATACCCGACAATCATGCTCTATATCTGATACTGGCAGTTTTGGAAGCCCCTGAGTGGATGATTTCTGCCCATTAATATGAACCCAAGCATTTAACTGCTCCTGAGGAACAAGGCATCCACCATTGCCCTTTGACTGATCACAATAATTATGCCTGAACCCATCACGTTTACGGCCCTTGTAACCCTACTCACAACAAAACAGCAAAAAACAAAGAACCAATTTATAAAAAGCACAATATGAAAGCCTTTACTGCAGGTAACCCAGTGACACCCTCGCACATGCAATACTGACAAAGAAAAATAACAGAACAAAAAAGCCTCAAAGAAAGGTCAAATACCTCAGTTCTAGCGCATGTTAATTCTTCTTCCTCAATGCAACCAGCTTCAGTGTTAACAGGATCATGATCTGATTCACACATTGGGTGTGTAGCATGAAGCACACATATTCCATAAAAACCAATATTTTCATTGTCAACACCTTCAACTTCACTTTGCAACAGACCCTGAATGGGGCATGCACAAAAAACCAATGACAACAAACACAATGAGTAATGTTAATATTGACCAGTCAATACTTCAACGTCTAAACTATTAAAATAAATTGCCTTTTAAAAGTACACACTAATAGCGTATTTTAAAGAAAATGTTAGATGCTTAAGCATGACAGTTGACACTTGCATATACTTGACAATGCCAATTCAAGAATAGCAGCATTATGTTGGATTGACTCTATATCAATCAAGCAAAGTTTTTTTTCATCTTCATATTCTCAATTTCTCACTCAGAACATAAGCAAAGATCATGAATGTTGTGTGAGTGTGAGGATCAACAATTAGGAAGCGTCAAGACCTTCTGATGAGCACACCAAGGGTGAAATTGAGCAGAACAATTTGCAACTCTGCACTGTATACATGATCCACCTGCCCGCTTACATATACAGCAAACCTGAATGAAAAAATAAATGAAAATGAGAACTAATGTCAAACCACACATGACAAAATCCCAGGGGAGGGGGTTGACATAAACATAAATAATTGGTAATTAATACTAGGAATGTCTTCTTACTATATTGTGTTTATTTTTGTATAAAATGGTATGTTTGGTAAAGGTTAATTAATTTCAAAGGGTTGCAATAGGTTGCAATAGGTTGTCATGTTATGACTTCTTTTCTCCCAGGGAGTGACTCCCTAAACCAAATTGTGATTTACAAGTTTTGCCATGCCCAATCCTGATGGTCTGTCTAATTTTTCTTGATTTCTAGTCAGACTGAAAAAAGCACTCTAATGTGCCAAACTCCAGTTCCATTTGTTACATATCCAGAACCCAAGTCTTCCAAAGCAAAGAAATCTTCATTGATACATCTATTTTTGCCTCAATTATTGATTTTAATGCTTACCACATCTGCTCTAGGATGTGCACCAGAGACATCAAAAGCACTCATAGTGTCAACATTTGGGCATCGTGTTCCAGGAGTCCAAAGCCCACAAACCATATGAACCCACTGCTTAGTTGCTGAATGAAGTAATCCCACTGTAATGCTGTTATGCATGACATCAAATTTGTAGGACATACCCATCTTACAGACAGCTGAGACCAAGGGCTGATCGTTTTCACGTTGGAGCACAAAGAAGGAAGAATTATCCTGATGTCCATAGCCAGAGCAATGCAACCCTCTTGAGTCCTTTTGCAAAGTTTTAACAGAAGAAAGCTTGTTCTTGGCCATGCATTCTGTTTCAGCATTCCAAGCTCTCAGAAGGCTTTTCACAACTGTGCGACTTCGGAGTGCTTGAGTCATGGCACCACCACCATAACCACATAGAACGCAAACCTTGATGAAGAAACAAACACATTACAAAACCACAAGTTAAAAAAGGTTAAGAGGAAAGAAAATCCATCTTCCACTCTCTCCCGTGTCTCACAAATTTTTGGGCTGAAAGCAAAAGTTTCTAGCAGTAAGATGGGCAAATAAGATTTTAGTCCAACTCAACCATGAATTGTCCAGATCACCTATTAGAATTATCTTTTGATTTCCAATTCAATTAGCCTTAACAACACATGTAATAACAAAATTCCTACTGAAAAAAGTTCACATTTGAATCACTGGCAACAATAATTTGAACAAGAAACAAAAAGAAAAAACACAAAAATAGAAGACAAGAGTCTTATAAGAGTAGTCTCAATAAAATAAGCAACTTACCACTGGCTATAGTGTGGGTAAGAAACCAAACATATAAGAAGTTTTTTCTAAATGAAAGTTATACTAAAATAATAGCCTTCCTCTTACAATATCTTTCGAACTGGTCCGGCATGGCCTGCAACACCAATGGCCTTTAGGTAGTTTTGAGACACCGTAACAAGCCTGATGCACCTGTTCATCATGAAACTTCTGAATATCACCAAACGATTGCATAAGAAATAGGATTAAATTCAAGTTGAATATGCTCTGGGGAGCCACATACTTTAATAGAACATTGACTACACGTCAGTAAATTATTGATTTCATCTTTGTTTGAACTACCACAAACACAGCAGAATGCATCTGAATCCAAATCAGAATGGCATCGGTGCTCTAGAGTAGAACTGTAACAGAATTTATCAAAACCAATCATCAGTATTTATAATTTAAATTCTTAATCACCATTTATATAAGGTGCCAAGAAAAGGAAAGATTGTTATTTATACTGCCTTCCAAGAAAGAAATAAGACAACTTTTGAAGCAAAATAATTAGAGGATCAATTTGCTTGCTCACCTTTTAGAACTAAGTTTGCACAATCCAAGCTTACTATCTTCAGCAGTCTTTAGAAGTTTCCCTTCTTTCTTTGCTGGCAGACAATTTGAAATTTTTGAAAGGGAAGAACTTTCAAAGCTGGGATCCTTCCCTGATGAACAAGTATCATTTATGTAAAACAATTAGAGCCAAGGACAAACAGCCATAAAAAAATAGAACAGAATATGAAAAGGTTGATAAGCATGTCTATTAAGTATGGAACAATTAACAAATAAGTATTATCACACAGCAAAATAGGCATCAATTGTTCTTCCAAAATTGTAAATTACTGGACCTTGCATAAGTACTATTGGAAGAATTATGTTTTTATACGCAGGTGAACAACATTAATTTGTAATCATTTCACAAGGCTCCTTTCTTAACCATCACAATTCGTACAACTGATTCCAACCCATGTCAGTGACTTTATATTACGACTCTCGCAAAAGTTACAAGAATACACTACTTTTGAAATTCCCTTCTATTTCATCCCTTATATGTCTTTTTGAAAGGAAATAAGATAAACAATACTAGGAATTTCATGTAGATTATGATGTTTTAAGGAAACCAAAAGTAAAAAATATGTGAACTAAGGTTATCTTATCAAACTCAAAAGCATACCCACATCGTCCCATATTCTGGGGTAAGTGGTGTACCACATTCCCCTTCCCATTCTTGTTTTGCATACCAAATGAAGGTAAATGTACTGCTTAACTACAGCTCATTTGCATGCACTTCACTAATGAAAGAAACTCTTAATGGTTTCTCAATTTACCTTGCAGACACAATTAACACCACTCAACAAGATTACAATTTAAAATATGTCGAAATATGGGGACTTACATGTTCTGTTTCCTTTTCTTTTTTGCTAATACAAGCTACAATCTTTAAAAAAGAAAAGCTTGTGCCATGGCTTTCCACAAACCATACAGGTAGGCCACACTTGGGACAGGATGCCTTATAAGAAGCTTAGGCTTGCATTTCTACCATAACCTAGAACTCTTTCTATATTCAGGGGAGAATTTTGAATTTCTAGTATATTAACTAACAATAAAAATGGAATACATTTGTATGATTACCGTTATCTGTCAACTCATAAATGCTGCGCTTGCGAATTTCCTTAGACTTCAGCTTCAATTGAGCATGGGCAATACCGCCTAGCTTACTATGATCTTTTTCACTTTGATCATCTCCCAAATGCTCCAACTTGGTCAACTCTTTAAGATTTTTTTTATCTCCATGGGAGCATTCTTTCTTCATTTTTTCCACGGGAGTATCATTTATTTTACCACAACCGGAATCATTATGGCATACATCAGAGGATACAACAGCCCGATTGGGGCTTGTCTTCTTCAAATCCCTCATGGAAGTTGATTTAGGATTACAATTTTTAGGGAGTGTGCACCTTCTGGCAGAATTCAGCACCCTGCTGAGAGGAACAACTTTTGCTGGTTTTGGCACGTCTCCATCCAAATTTCCATTAGCTAGTTCACCATATTTTCCACATACTATTGGTCTTGCCTTCCTATAACAAATATTCACCTGCTGACTAGAACATGATTTCAAACCTACAGAATTGTGCTTTCTTTTTCTAGCACCTTCATGACCTGATTCTTGTGTCAGGAACAGACTAAAACCATTAGAACTGAAATCCCTTTTACATTTCTTTCCCCCAGAAACTTCGGAAATTTCACAATTGTCAGTTCCCCCATTTAGTTCTGTCTGGTTAACACCATTTACCTCTCTGTCATTGTCATCATACAGTCTGCGGAGATCTCTTTTACGTGAAAGCTTCTTTGCCGAACACGTTTTAGGCAGTCTGGGTTTGGAACTGGGCTGAGTAACACAGGTCCCAAAGGTATGAGTTTTGGATTGCCTCAATGGAAAGAGCATCTTCACACTTTTTGATGGACAGGAGGGGAACTGTGCGCTGTCATTACATTCAGGGTTTTCTTCTTGTACTGTATAAGGACCTGAAGTGGGACACGACTCGGAACCCATTTCTCTCTTCTTCTTCCCATCTTCCAAGCCTCTCTCAAAGTTCTGGGGGTATTCATCTTTTTCATGAAGGGCAAGCCCAGCTGGGAGTTTATTTTGACCTTTCAGCCATGTTAAAGAATTTAACAGTTTAAGCTCGTCAAGAAGACTACAGGATGATTGATGATTTAAATTCTTAAAAGAGCCAACTTTTCTCAAGCTGGTATTACCAGTAGAGGTAAGAAGCTCAGCACTCTTTTCACTTTCAAGTGCATCATCTGATGACCAGCATTTATCAACGCCTGATCCTTCATCAACAATAAGATTGCTTACGCATCCAGTATCCCCAGCATCAACAGTTGAAGAGTCCATCTTATTAACCTCAATTGATGCCTGGGTAACAGCCGGTGCAGAACCTCCAGAAGAATTATTATAAATTTCATGCTCTTTCGAGGAGTCCACCATCTGCACAGTGCCATTGAAGCGCTTAACATAATTATCCCCAAGCTGCTCACTATCTCGTCTTCTCGCATCAAACAGATTAGCTAAACGATCTACACGTGTCACATCAGAAACCCCTTTGACCTTACTCGGAACATCTCTCCACTGTGAAGCATGACAGACGTTCTTGGGTATTTTCCCATTAACCTGTCCCCTGGGATCTAAGGAAGTAGTTTTATCCTTTGGAACTATATGGTTGTTAGCAAATTTTGGAGCAAACATCATGGAGGCTTCACCATTGACTGTTCCCATTTGTTCCTTAAAGGCATCAGGAAAACATCCAACTCGTGACTCAAAATCCCTTCCTAAACAGTTTATGCTGGCTGCACAACTGCAGCTTCCACGAAAATAACCATAGGGAACTTTGTGACAGCACCTTTCATGCTCACTAGGCTCAATGATGTTCTTCCCACTTCTACTGTCACAAACAATAAAGGAAGATGACTGTTAGAGAGAGCAAATCTCGCATTGACTTGTTTAAGGAAAAATATATTGTATATGCACAGTAAGATAAAAGCAGGTGAGTAAACCAAATTGCCTAAGAGAGCACATCTGAATTGCAAAATATAAGACACTCAGGACTATCACTGAGCTTATAAAAGCTAACTTGCCAAGTATTTGCTAACATGATTCAACATCTTCTAGAGCACCCATTCACATGCAGTTACAAATGTAAAGCCATTAACAGATAAAAGTGTGTTCAGGCGTACAATGCCCTCTGACAATCAAATCAATACCTTCAAAATTTCAACAAATTTTTTCACAACAAACTGCATGAGATCTGTACAAGTTCACCTCATTTAACAATCTTTAAGAACTTTCAAATCTTGCAACTTGTACTTGACGTCAACAAATTCCACCAACATTTCAGTATCAAGAAACCATAAAGCAGAACCAGTGAAATCGTCCCAGTAAAAACAATAAGAACAACTCCAATAAAATGAGATACAGCACAAAATGTTAAAACTCTACAACCAATTTGCCATTCTAGATACTAAACTAACCTCAGTGAAGGTTGCTCATTACATAGAGGAACAAAGGAAAATTGATGTTTCAGATCAACTTCTTTAGAATGTAATGCATTTCCTTGTTTCAATGTTGAGAAATGACAGCAGGTGTTAACACCTGAATAAACAAAGCCATTGTAAGATTCACACTACAACGGTGAAAAAAAAGATTCCTTTTCAAGCAAACTTATACATTGGCATTCAAAAAACAAATATTGCACTTGCCAGTCAGGGAAGTAAAACCTTCATCACTTCCAATCCTACAGCTAGCACCTGATTGGTGTGATTTAATGGTAGCTTCAGAAACAGCATTTTTACTGGTAAGAATAAGTTTTTGCTCTTGCTTCCCAGATGCTGACGTGTCCACAAGAGAATTATGCATATAAGAAGAGCAATCAAATATCCCTTTCCCTCGGTTCATCGGAAGGGAAGGCAATGCATGGTGTTGCTTCGATAACTCCATTATTTCCCTCAGTGCAAGCAATCGTGAATTATCATCAGGCAACTGAGCGCTTACTTCAATTAAATTTTCTCTAGACAAAGAAGGTGTCTGATCTGATACAGAGATTGACGCACTCACAGGAGGAATACCTTTCGAGACTGTCTGTGATGGAAAAATTAGGCCAGATCCTACTGATGAAGCCAAGGGTCGATGGTGAACATGACCAACTTGTCCTCTATTTCCAAAAGAAAGAACCTTGTCAGGAAAGTTGGAATATTTTCTGGAATCAGGTCCATCAGGTGCTACACCAGACAACTTGTGTGAGTAGCAGCTATTTTTATGTGCCGTTAAGAAACGAGGATCACTTGTTCCACTCAATCCACTGAAAGAGCTTGAGATCTCCATCTCCTTGTGAATTCTATACCCTAAATCCTTTGAAAGGTTAGAGTCGTCATTAACAAAACTCACCGCCTTATCCTTGTCAATCAGTCTATAGGAACCCAACTGAGTCATGTCCAATTGCCCGTCTACACTATTACTTCCATTCCTGGGGACATTAGCGATGCCATACTTGGCAGACTGAGGTTCATAATGTAGTGTATTTTGCATAGCAAGCTCACCAACATTACATATGTACTTATTGGCTTTTGGTCGTGTATTATCCTCAGGTGGAACATTGAGATTGGTAAGAAATGAAATCACAGAATCCTGGCCCAGGTTGCTAGTGGATTTCTCTACTCTTGCAGCATCTATGGCATTACCAATTACAAATGCATTATTTCCACGGTTTAACTGTTTGTGATCTCTCTTTGTGCTGGGAGATGGAACAGCAGAAAAATAAAGAGATTGCCTAAATTCCATCTCTTCCCTGCAATTGGCTGGAAAAAAAAAAACACTGAAGTTAAATGTTATATGGTTGATTAGCCATAATGGGCGGGAAAGAGAATAAATAATAGAATAAAATATGCACCATAGGTATTAGGCTTAAGGGGAATAAAAAAAAGAAGAGCTTTGACGCACTGTTAGGAATCATCTGTTCGGGGATTAGAGACTTCAGTGGATTTACAAGTGTGTCCAATAGCTGTGGACCTACAGCCGGAAGATTTGAATTTCCTGAACTTTGACCCAACTGGTATGGTTGACCAAGCCTCAGCTCAATATTTGAAATTGCAGCATCCCGGAAGGCACCATCCTTCGCATTTACAGTTCTGCAAAAGTTTGACTCTTTACCCATGATTCTTCGATCCTTTAAAGAGGGGTGGGTAATAGATGAATTTCCAATTTTCATGGCGGGGTAGATAATAGATGAATTTCCATTTTTCATGGATTCAACGTAAGCAGAAACAGACTGACCACCATCTTGCAGTCCACTACCAACCAATTTTGACATTGACATAGGGCGCTCCAATATCAGGTTGTCAGCTATACCATGCAAATTGTTCTGTGACGTGCCAGTAAAACCCTTGAGAAAAATGGTGTTACCATCCTGAATGTTCCTTTGCTGTTTATTTTGTACAGCACCAACAACAAAATTTTGGTTTGTAAAAGGTTTCTTTGATAGTGCAACACCATCTAAAGACTGTTGATAACTTGCTGAACCTCCAGATGAACGAACCATATGAGACAAGTCATTGGATACGTTGGGCATGGACACAGATTTCAACAAACCGGCAGTTGCTGATAATCCTTCAGGCCAGTCCCATTCACTCCGATCTCCCGGAACCCTAATCTAAAGCATCATAAAAATATCACGATCCATTGTTGTCGTTGCTTCAAAGTTCAAACACATGCAAATAAGAAATCCAATTCTCAATTCAAAAGACAATGAAAAATTAGTCAAAAGATGGGGACAAAGCATTGTAACTGACAACATGGAAATAAATTTGTAAGCTCAATAACTATGATTCTATCAAATATGAAAAGAAAAACACCACCATTTCATACTCACCTCACCCCTTTACCACTTAATCCAAGGCCCTAAGGGTAAGAAGGTAGGCACCGTGTGGAAAAACCTAAGAATACTTACACACCATTGGATCTACCTTAGGCAGAAAAGAGTTCGTAAAACTCCTAATTCATAAACTTAAAGCAAATACGATTTTGCTTGTGGTAATGTAAAAGAAAACGATTATTCCTTTTCTAAGTAGGACTGTATATGATGGGTCTTAGTGAAGTGGATATGATTGAGGTAAACACCTGTGATGTGATCTTACCTACAGGAATAGTCTTTGCATCACACACACACAAGGGAGACAAACCCACTAATGTGCCCATGCATCTACACATATGTACATAAGCATGCATGCACTTGCACTTGACATACACGCAAAGGTGCCCGCACAAAGAAATAGGGCATAAAGCAATAGGGAAAGTATTTACCCCAGAATTTAGGAAGTAGAGCTTGCACCACTGGGCAATGGTCTCTCCATTGTCCATACGGACAGCATCCCCTGGGTTGACACCATATAATCCTGAATGCTACAAAAAAAAGTTATAGCAATTTTTAAGCCAAATTACAAGCCAAATGCTTTGCAAATACATATCACAATTAGCAAAGCTGTAGCATTATGGAATCACTAACCTACCTCGCAAAATTTCACGACAGACATGTGGAGACGATGGCATGAGCAAACAATACCAACAAGTCCTGTATTGCTGAGAAGTAGATAACCACCTTTTCAAATAATAAAAATATCAACTCAAATTTCAGAAGAGTATCAACCAAATAGGGCATCGATATATTTCAATAACAAGATCAATGTCCTTAAAACACTCACTAGTAGTCGAGCAAAAAACACGAGGGCAACCATTCATAAAACTCGATGCCTGGTTAGATATAACGAAGTTTCCTTCCACTGGCAATTTTTTTGAAATTTGAATATTTGCTCCACAAGCCTTCCCAGTATGTGCAGGGCTAACACCACGCCATTCCCCACTCAAGGAAAAAGAACCCTTTACTTTCTCACTCCCCAGAACCATGTTACGGGTGACTACTTTGGCGAGGTCTGAACTCTGCAGATCGTGCAAAACAGAATTGCTCGCACAATTGGAACTTGGCACTGACCTTGATGAAACCTTAGTACAAGAGTCTGCTCCACTTTGCAGGTTTTGCCCACTCAGATTTTCTGACAATACCCCACTGGATGTCACTGGAATGGCACTTCCAATACCATTCACTATAAAATTATTACTATCGGGCAGAATCTTACAAGATGTACCAATAGGTTTCGGATTTGATAATTCTTGGAAATCACACTGGAATACCGATGGTGACCCAGATAGAAGAGCTAGAAAAGAATTTCCTGAATTGGCATGTTCTGATCTCTGGGAACCTGAATACAGCTTGCTGGCAAGTAGGGGATCTTGTAACCTACCAATCATTGTGGGTCTTAAATCTTGTGAGCCATGTGGATAAGAATAATAACCTGTATTGGTCTCCATCTTAATTGCAAATGAAAATCCATGTTAGTAATGTGAGAATAAACATGCCAAGGTCACAAAATAAGAAAATTTAAATGCATAGAGGAATAAACATTTTCACAATGGTATATAGTACAAACTAGTAAATGGTCAAAGCATATACATGTTTCATGTCCGATATCTCACAAGCACAATTACACCAATGACTGCCACCTTCACAATTCCATGGACAAAATTCAAAATTGGTGCCACAAGGATAATTTCTTATGAGATGTTGTTTCCACAGGTTACTGTCATGATTGATAATCGCATTGTATATGCGCATTCCTTGTCCTAGCAAGCATGCGCACAAACACATTTTTGTTCTAAGTGTGTAATAACATCAGAAAATCAGAATTACAGTTATTGGGCAATGAAGCTACTAGAAGCACAATATCCTAGTTAAGAAATATATAATTATAATACTGTTACACACTCATTGCCAAGTAGAGATGCTTTGGAAAAAGAAGAGAAAAGTTTCACTAAACAGAATTTTTGATAACTAATGTAGTAGCCCCTTCACATTGTCTTAAACTTGATCATTCCAACACCTTCTATCAAATGCACTATATGCACATACTACTTTTTTTTCTTTTTTCTTTTTTCTACACTGGCTGAAATGTGCTTCCTCTGACAATTTAACACAGCCATCTCAATGTACAACACATTAAAGCACAAGAATCAATCAACAGCAACTACAAAAGAAAAAGTAAAGAGAAATTATCATCAAAAGGACACAGAGTACCCGGTTCCGATGCTCCTGAGATGAAGAGGAAGCCATTGACAGTGCCGATGACTGCAATGTCGAACTACATTTGGTCCGCCACGAGTTCTCCATCATTCTGAGCTCTCAAAACCCTAGCCTCCTTCCATCAGAACCATCAAATGCAGCGAAACACCTCCCAGAAATGAAAAGCGGCGATCAAAGACCGATTGTGTACTTTTAACGGCTACTAAGACAAGGTCACGGCGGTCGAGGAAATCGGTGAGGTCAAAAGCAACAGAGAAACCCTAGGTTTCAACGGAGAGGGGAGAGGGTAGAGAGTAGAGAGAGAGAGAGAGAGAGAGAGAGAGTTGCAGAGTAGCAGAGGAGCTGTGAAGCTTTGAGAAGCAAAAGCTGAGAGTCAGAGAGAGAGCATCTCTGGTGGTGTAGTGGTTCGAGGCAGGGCTTAACATGGCACTGACACTCACACTTCGACGCGTGTGCTGGGTTAAACAATTTTGAACCGTTAGATTTGCTGGTTTGGTGAAGGGTGGGAAAGCGGGGCAATCTGGACCGTCGATTGTGAAGACAGCTTGGATTCGGTGATTTGCATTGGTTGGGATAAAAACGCAAGGGTCTTGTTCTGGTCAGATACTGTAGTGTCACAAGGGCCCACTAATACACACTGAAAGGGGTGGACACGTGGGCGGATACGATTGGTGGGGTAGGAGAAGGGGTGGGGACCACCGAAAGATTATGTTTGTGTTTGGATGAGGGGGAGCATTGCAATTATTAAAGTGTCGTCCAATTTTGGGGTGGGAAATCCAGGTGTTGGATTTGGATAACCTTTTTCACGTGAGCATGATGCCTAAAGAGACTAGGACTAAAAATAGTATTTTGTATCCAAGTCATTTTAGGTATGCATTAACACCACAACTAAAAATTTAAAAACTTGAAATCTTAAAAGTTATTAGTACAGAACTTAAATAAGGGCGAAATTAAAAAAATTCACTGAACTTGAGTAAGGTAGGTTACTTACTGCTAAAAGGGGTTAGTTGTGATTTCAAGTAAATAGGGTGAAATCACGATAAAATTCAAGTAGGCGGTGGCATTACTCGTACTCGTAGTATATGTAATGGCATGTGAATTAGTAGAATATGAAGAGGGTTTGATTAACAAAAGTGAGTTTTGCTAAAGCAAACACTAAGAATTGCTCCTATACATATTTGAACCGTTACAGACATAAAACACACTTGAGTTTACTAAAACCTAAATTTACTTATAAGGGAGACTTTGAAAAAACACAAAGGAGAGAGAAAATTTGTAAAAAAAGCCAAAATGGACAAAATTGCCCTTATTTATTTTTGGATTTCCTAAGGAATACTTTATACCGTTCGGCTCCTGTAGGGGAGCCTCACTGCCCTTTCAGAGAATTATTCAACTACTAATGTTAGAGTTACCGTTCCGATCTATATTTTATATTGTGGTGTTGCCGGACTCGCTTCGCTCGGACAGCGAGCCTATTTGTCCTTCTACTCTTGAAGTACCGTTCGGCTCCTGTAGGGGAGCCTCACTCTCTTGCAGATTTGTCTTCACATTAGGAAGTAGGAGTTACCATTCCGATCTATATTTAAGACTGTGTTGCCGGACTCGCTTCGCTCGGACATAAAACACACTTGAGTTTACTAAAACCTAAATTTACTTATAAAGAAATAAGAATATTGCTATAAGCTCTGTTTGTTTTTGGAAAGGAAAATAAAACACATACGCATCAACCAAAGTGGAAGAATTGAATTGAAAGATAACTTTAATTTTTCTGAAACTGGGTATGCCAAATTGGCCAGGCTGAAAGCCCAAAATGTTGGGCCGACCATCATTTGGCCCATAGCCTGGGGATGCGCCGATTAAAACCAGCACCATCCGATCATTCTGAAATAAATTGGATTGTAAAAAGGGATTCTAAAATTAATTGAACAAACGTATACAAGGAGATATAGGTTCATACATGATACAGCCACACAATTTAAATCAAATAAACTCGTTCAGGTGTCAATTCCAACAAAGATGAAAATCCCAACATTTGTAAGCAAAGCTAAACAGAAAGCGTAGCAAGGGAAAAAGAAAATTTGATTCGCGATTTTCTTATCGATCACGAAGTTGTGGCTCGATAACTCATCCAGCTCATCCATCGACCATGTAATTTGGTAATACAACGCAATTGCAAGCATTTATTAACTTTGTTATTCTACTATAAACCAAAGTAAGATACATTTCTATAAAGTGTTGTGCCGAATTTCACACCCGCAATCGGGTCATGTGTGCAACTGAATTCGAGAGTGACATGAAGTGTGCAACCCAAGTTGATAGTGGGACATGACAACTTTCACAAACATTTTCATAAGTGGCATCTGTACCAAACGGCAGCACAGCTTTGTATATACAGGCTCTGTGTCTACGTCAGCTCCAAACCAGCTCGTTTACCTATTCCCCCCAATTTGGAATGTTTGCTGTGGCTTCATTGACCATTCTCACCAGAGTCACCTGTATGTTTAAATTTTTTTCTACAGGTCAATGAGATGAGATGGAATATGCAGGGGGAAAGCTCATAAATTTAAGGTTATTCTTTTTCTTCCCCTTTTTGATTTCTTGGTAAGATTTGAACCAATTGACAACCTACCCCAACCACATAACACCACTTATCACTCGAGCTAAAGTGCAAGCGGGACTGGGTACTGGTACAATAGTTCACATAAAATTTATCGGTCATACCTAAATGCTAAGCGGCACTAAATGATTCTACACATCATGTTTCAGCAATTTTTTAAATATCTAGCCAATCTCTTAAACCAAAAAATCTCGCCAGTTATATCAATTATTTTCCATTCACTGGTGTAACCAATTATGCAGCCACACTACTAGGTCAGATGATACATACCACGCTTTCTGGAACACCAGCCGGAGGCATAGGAAGGTTTCTAGGCGGTGCAACACTATCGTAAGATCTTTTGTCAAATCTCCATTCTCCAATCTTTCCGTATGTTAATTCACCCTGATATCAGAAGACAAAAATCAGACATTATCAGTCAGCAGCTAGCTCTCATTTCTTGAAAACTGAAAACAGATATTGGGCATTTAATCAAACTGTCAGAAACAAAAAATTTCCCCATATTCTTCTCCTAGACACTGCACATTAAAGTACACAACTGCTTGTCGAACAGGTTACCTTCATATTATAGTCACATCCATAAGTGTAATGAATTATGAACTTCTTGCCAATCTCTTTATCCCATGGAGGCTGATATACATCAGAAAAACAGTAATACTAGTAAGTTAAACGGTAGCACAATCAAACTTTGTAAAGCAATCAATTGATCTTGTAGAAGGTAACAAATGGCTACATTTAGAATCACATAATAACTTGCAATTATGAAGACTATACATTATAAGGAAAGAAAAGGGGAATAATATCCCAGCTAAACCTGAATCATGAAGTCCTTGTACAAGATATTACCAACACCATGTAGAGCGGATGCAACAGCATAAGCATACCTATATCATGATGCAAAGTTAGTCAGGAAGCTTTTTGATAACTAAGTTTAAGAAGTCGGGAACATGCTGTAAGGTCACCTAAGAACTAAGCTAACTAGTGAGAGCTCACATTTCAAGCACCCAACCAAAAGCTTTGTCTGTTTCAGGATCCTTCTTCATTGCCAAAGAAACATTCATCCAGGTGGGAGCAATCTTCTTAAGAGATTCCTAACAATGATGGATTTAAAAAAAGTCAAACCACCAGAAACCTAAAGAAAACTTATTATAACTGAGAGATGACAAGTTTAAATACCTTCCCAACAATGACGGGAGAATTTCCAATAGGATCAATGTTAGTTATTGGTCCCTTGTTCTCAGGGAAGTATTTCCGGAGTACTGACTCGTACGTTTTAGGTTCAATGTAAAAGAAAGGAAATGCAGCTCCAAGCCCATCAGTGGACAAGTTTGGTATGGGCTTGACAATTATATGATCTGGCTCAGACATCAGTATATAACTGCAATACATGTTAAGAATAGCAGGATATAAGTCAAACCTAACAAAAACACTGAAGATGATTGATTTATTGAATTCAGAAACTAGGCAGTGAAGCATCTCGTACTCTTCTTTGATGTCTGCTTGCTGAAGCCATTGTACAAATGCCCATGGTCTATTCAGAACTATATAACCCTGTGATTACAAGATGGGAGGTAAGCAACGATTCGAAGGTAATTTCTAATAAGATGACAGTTACAGAGGATTTATACTCAATCACCATGAGAACTTATCCATTTCTTTCTTAAACAGGCTGCTTGAAGGAAAGTTTAAATTCTTTTGGGTTCTGTAATTTAAAACTTTAGATTGAATAATATATATCATGGGGTAAGTTCGTGTATAACAAAAATGCCTCACTAAAATAACAATGTCTCCAAAAGCAACAGCTCAACTGAGCTTAATTTAAATGTAAACTGAACCAAGCTACTCTGGCTTATGTAAATCACAGCGCTCTAAATTAGCGTAGTTATAATTTCTTATTTTGCTCATAAACCCTTCTTATTCTGCTCATGAACCATAACAATGTTAAGAATTAGAATCTAATTTATTCATTTGCGACATTTGTTCAGCAACCCAAAATACCAAACCAAAGAACAATCTTCACCAAAATAAAATAAAAAATTCAATTCAATTAACACCTTCCAGAAAAAAAATGGATGAACAACATTCATAAATAAACAAAAATAAAAGAAGAGCTAAGCATAGAAAGACCAACCCGATCCATTCCAGCAGGCAAAGGCTGAGCAACAAAGGTTGGGATCTCATCCATGTACTTGTCAGGCTTCCCAGAGTGCAAGATCCTAGTGAACCCACCCATCCCTGAATTGGGTTCGTTCTGAAACTTCTTGAACCAGTAGTACATGATCCTACACTGCCACGTATTGTACACAGAGTCGGACGCTGTCACTGCCGTGTGGAACAGTCTCTTGGAGCTCCCTAATTTCCCTGTCGATCTGTGCAATGGCATCTGGATTATGGGGTCCACAGAAATGGACGACGACGATGATCTTGATGGGCCTGGGAGGTCTTGCTGGAGTGGTGAATTAGCTGAGATTATTATGTTGTATGTTATCAGAGCTACAGAGAAGGTCACAAGTATCGTGAAGAAGAAATTGCCGCAACCCATTTTCGTCTCTCTGAAGCTTTCTCTCTCTATTTCCTGTTTTGCTGTTTCTCTGTGTCTGATGAAGAAGATTGAAAAATGGCGACTTAGGAAAGTCGTCGTTGTGTTGTGTTGATCAGTAGCAGGTGAAGAAAGTGGCTGGCTGGACTGGACCATCTTTCTTGCCAAACATATTATTGGGCCTGGGCCTTTCGTTTGTAGGTTCGTTAGTTAATTA